ATATATATATTTTATTAATTTTAAACCTCCTACAATACCTACTTTATATATATTGCATATTTGTTTTTTGAAAAAAAAAAAAAAATATTGAAAAATTAAAAATCTGAAAATTTAATGTATATTTAAAAGACTATATATATATATATATATATTTACTATCTTATAAAACAAATCCTACTATGTCTAAAAATAGATTAAATAAAATAATAATATTTTTTTAAGACGCTCAAATCATTAAGCTAATTGTACAAGTAATCACTAATAAAATAATATTAAAATTTAAACAAACTCTTATAAATCTTCTCTTCCAAGGTTTTGATCAGATCTTTTTTTTCATCCAAATAAATACTCAACACCCTATAATTTGATCATTGCATGAATTTTCTTTATTTTGAATATGACATGTTTCCTAAAACAAATTAATGATTGAATTGAAAATAATCATTCTCCATCGAAAAGAAATTAATTGTCAAAACAAACTATTTATCGTCCGCCGCTTTGTGCGGGTAAACGGCTAGTGTGTGTGTATATATATATATATATATATATATATATATATATATATATATATATATATATATATATATATATATATATAAGGTTAATCATAATGTCAATAGTCACATCGTATTAATTAGAATAAATAAAAACAATTATTTTCATTTAAAAATTCCTATATCATCCGTTTAAAACATTGCAATATATATTCATTATTTTTTATACATCCAACATTATATACTTTATATAAATTGCAGATTTGTTTTTTGAAAAAAAAAAAGAAAATATTTAAAAATGAAAAATTAGAGAATTTATGTAACATCTATGATATTTTCAAAAAATTTAAACTTTTCAAAACCAACCCAAGAGTATCAATGGTTTACAAAATCATCCAACATAAGTCATTCACATATTGTTTTCAAAACATTATTCATCAGAGTGTCCCAGTAACAAAATCACAAGGATGAGGAGCGGTACAGTCACGTATTTGCCTTACCACAATCTCCTGATGTACCAAAAACAATAAACTGAAACTGTAAGCCCGAGAGCTTACCCCCAAAATACCAATACCACACTAATAATACCATATTAATAACAAATAACAACAACATGCATATTGGGCCTTCAACATGACTGGACCGCCTTACCATGTCTCTAGATCTACTCCGAGCCTTCGGTATGACTAGACCGCTATGCAGGGCCACAACCCATCCGGACCGTTCATTGGGTATGTTGGCCTTCAGCACAAAGCATGACTGTCTCAACCCAACCCCCAAACAAATAACTATGTGCACATAATAACATATTTTAACATATAAATCAGATAACACTATCTCACAGATCATTAATCATAGCAATCTCATATATCTGGACTACCCGACCTAACCAGGTCACTAACATACCAATCTATCCGATCATAATAGCATATCACATCCTTTCTATCCTGGTACCGATCTAACAAATCATAATTGCATACATCATACTGAAATCAAAGTTATAACCTAAGGGTCGGCCTTGGTGCCTTAGACCCTACTGATACAGTGAGGATAACTCATCTCGCTAGCTGCTCGAAATAATACTGACTACTCCTAACCACCTCGTCTGTACCCATGAGTAATCCACTTAATAACTACTCAAATTACCAAAATACTCTCGGAAGGTATTATAAAATCCCTAGTCAAATTCAAAGTCATTGGGTCAATGGTCAACAGTCCATGTTGACCTATTAACTGAGTGTAGCTTTTCCTTTCAACAAATCCCAACTGATTCAAGGATCACTCGACTCGACTCGTCGAGTTCCTAATAGACTCGCTGAGTCACTACTCGACTCAGTGTCTGAAACCCCAAACCGACTCGCCGAGTCATCTCCCAGACTCATCGAGTCCACACGAGACTAAATCGAACAAAACCCTACTCGACTCGCCGAGTCATCTCCCAGACTCGTCGAGTCCAAACGGGTACCTCCATAATCAAATAATATTGAGCTATTCCTTCGCTCCAAACAGTAGATCTAGGTCCCTAAAGTGCATTAGCAACGTAAAGTTGCTACATTTACGTGCTTGCATGCCTCATAATCCAAAACCAAGCTTGAAATGAAACTCAACTCATGAGAAAGGGCTTTTGCATAACAATACCAAGGACTTTCTGAATTTAGAACCCAAAGGAAACTCAAATCTGAAGTTTCAACTCCAGATCTAACTCATACACCATTATCTTCTCATAATACTCCCAATCAAACCCTAAAACTTCATGTAAGATAGATCTAGAAAGGGGAAAGGTCAAGGTAATGACTTATTACCTCCAAAACGTGCCCACACTGAAGTAGAATCTGGATCCACACTAATCCCAGTGATACAAGCTTCTTGATCTACAATTTTCCTTCACAAATTCACTTTCCAAGGCTCCAAAACACTCCCAAGGACTCTCTCACACGAAATTAGGGTTTCTGGCTCTTAAGGGGTGATGAGGGACCGAGGGAGGCGCTAATGGTCCAATATATAGGGTGCAAAAACCCTGAAATTTAGGGTTTCCTCTGACAGCTACGACTCATCTAGTCCCCTTCCTAACTCGCCGAGTTCAGTCATTAAATGATGTGCTTAGGGATGAGCAAAAGGACCGAACCGGTTGGAACCGGCCCGAACCGGACCGGAACCGGGAACCGGCTTCGGCCAAAATCAAGAACCGAACCGGCCCGACGGTTCTATCGGTTCCGGTTCTACCGGTTCCCGGTTCTACCGGTTCTTGTCGTGTCTTCAAATGTTGGAACCGGTCCTTGAAAAATAGCATTATACGGTTCTGGTTTTTGCCGGTTCTACCGGTTCCGGTTATATCGGTTCCGGTTCCTACCGGTTCCCGGTTCCAAAAATCCACAAAAATAACGTCCCGGTCCCGGCCCGACCGGTTCCAGTACCGGTTCCGACCGGTTCCCCGGTCCATTTGCTCATCCCTAGATGTGCTCATCCCGCTGCTACTCGACGAGTCATAGCATCAACTCGTAGAGTAGACCTTAGATCTTGGATTTCAAATGTAAAATAATGATACCTGACAATCGGGGCGTTACAATTTAATGTATATTTAAAAGATAAAGGATAAAGATTACAATATCTATAGTTGAAATGATTACCTTAGACCCTATAACCGCCAAAATCGAAAATCATTACTATCTATGCAAATGTGATAGACAACACATTACCCCATTTAATTACTACTTATATATTCATCTCCTCCATAATTTCTACCATTAACATAAACCAAAACACTCATACGATTTCCAGTCATGGCATTTGAAAGAGTTAATTGGAATTCACGCAAATCATCATAGTATCTTGATATTTATGGTATGATTCTGGTTCTTAATATCATATAATGTTCATATTTATCTAATTTTATTTCTTATTTAATCAGGATCTGAAACTGAACATACTTCTCAATCAAGATCAATCATAGAGGAAGATTCTTTTTTACTATCTAGGAAGATCTTACAATGGAGGAATAGTTGATTACATAAATGATTTCTCTTATGAGGTATTTGTGAAACTAATCAGTTCTTTCTGTTATGATTTCAACAAAAACTTTTGCTACTCAATCGTATCTTATACTCCATTGGATGTTGGTTTAATCAAGCTTCAAGATGCTATGGATATTTATGAATGTCTTAAAAAGGTGAAAAATATGGTTTCCTTTGTGTTCAAGAGATATATTTGGAACATTATCAAAAAACTGTTTCGGCCATTTTCCCATATACATTAAACCAAGCGACAAATAGTTATCTTTGCACACTTCTGTGTTAATTGTTGGATGTAATCCAAATTTTAATCTGTGGGAAGTAAGAATCTACCTTTTTGACAAATTCAGATTTTAGGTAGATAATCACAAACTCCATGCAGCTTTGGAATACACCACGTATCAAGTGAAGCTTTTCATAAATTAATGGAAACAACCAAGTGGATATGTAGGATATGTAGGTTTTTGGATTTTAATCAATATAAACATATGTCTATTTTATGATGCTTGACTGTAGGTTTTTTTTTTTTTTTTTGAAGAATATTGGTATGTTATATTTTGTTAATGTTTGAATTTTATGTCATATGGTTAAGTTTGCTTATTTTGGGGATTAATGTATTATATATAACAAAATATTATAGTCGATGGTTGTTAATGTTGGGTAATCAAGACATGTTTAATATGTTTATTCCAGTTATGGGTATAGATAAAATAGTAATATTTTGTTTGATTTATTTAATGTTTGAATAAATGAATTTTGACCAAGTCTAATGCACATAAACGCCATGTGCCAAGTGTAGTTGGTGACCAACAGTGATCTTGACATGATCCTGAAGGCATCGTTTTTGTGATTAGTATTGAAGTTTAGGGTGCAATCGGGGTAATCAGGTTACAAATTGTGCCATCTTAGAGCACAAGCTTCACATTTTATACGGAGGCAGGGTGAACATACAATTTCGCTATGTCATCGATGATGTGTCAAATTGGGACGATGTGGCATGGTTACTGGGTATAATAAGTAAAAGGGACTAAATTGTTAGGTTGCAACACAATTCGTTTCCTCGTAAAGCCACTAAAAAGTTAAGTGACTAAAAAAATAAATTCTAAAAAGTTCGTAGGTCGTATGTGTTATTTTCCCGTATTAATATAAACGGTATGAGAATTTCAGTACTAAGGGTGTGTTTGGGATTCCTTTTTTAAGTTAAAAGTCTTTTTTTTTTAAGTTAAAAATCTTTTTATAAAAATGACTTTTTCTAAAAAAAAGATATTTTTAAAATATATTTGAGTGGATTTTAAGATATAAAAGTTAAAAGTTACAAAAAAATGGAATTTCATGATTTTTAAAAATGTTCCTTTTTAATCATGGTTAAAAGTTGATTTGATTTTTTTTTTTAATTTTTTTATTTTACCCAATATGTTTTAAACTTTTTTACAAAAAGTTAAAAGTCCAAAAAGTTAAAACCTCTAACTTTTTATCCGATTGTGGTTTATTCGGTACTAGACCACCTTGTGGTTTATTCGGTAGGAGACCACCAAAGCACATCGCTATCTCTCACTCTCTCCCCGGTCTATGACCTGGTCCTTCGATTTCCCTTTATTATTGGACGTCCACTGAAAACTAGTAGAAGAAAGGAAGCGCCAAAGTAGCGAGGATTTCTCCAGCCGGTAGCAACCGCAAAGTTTCACGAAATATGTCGTCACGAACTAACGCTATCTCAAGGATAACCAACCTCCGTCGTCATTTCAACATATCAAAACAAGGCTCCAAGGTAACCAAATCCCGCAAACTTCGATACGTGTATGATCCAGCCCTAAACTTGTCCACTAGTGTAATTAATTGATTTCATATGATTATCCCACAAATTACTTTTCAAAGCTACGATAATCTTAATAAAATTTGAAATAATCCGAGATTTCTTTGTTCTTTGCAATCTTTGTTATTCGATTAGGGTGGCAATGAGGGGGGTAGCAATGAGGGGAGTAGCTATGAAAATACCAGTTCGGGGAGTATTAAGATTTCTCAAGATGTTTCTACAGCTTTATCAAATGGGAAAGCAGTTGTTGCTCTGGAGTCCACTATAATAACTCATGGTATGACTTGGTTTATAATCTAGATATTCACATTCTTCCGAAATTTGTAAGCCCTATATTCAATACTAACCAATGGTTTGAGTTTTGAGGTCAAAGGGAGTGATTTTAGGGTTTTGTTTTTTTATCACACAGTACAGTTCTATATGTATGTAAGTCCTGTGAGCTACACTCCTGTACATCAATACTATGATAATCTACTATTTTGTTGTAAGACAATGAACATGATGAACAGTTATGCTTAGTGTAATCAGTATGAAAGGTGATTACAAAGTTTAGTTATGGACAGTAAGCGAGCTGACATAATTACATGTATATCATTATCTTTGGGGAGTTTGGTGCTGATGTTGTTTAATATATTGTCTATGCTTGTGATTTAACCTTATGACTATATTATTCCTGTTTGTTACTTGTTAGGCATGCCATATCCTCAAAATTTTGAGACTGCAAAAGAAGTGGAGGCCATTGTGAAGGAAAATGGAGCTGTTCCTGCTACCATTGCTATTTTGGATGGCATACCATGCATAGGTGTTAATGTTATCCCTTAATCCTTTTTACTAGTTTTTGACAGAGATGCATTATTATGATATTTAGTATATTTTTTCTTTCACTTTTAGGGCTCACCACTGAAGAACTGGAGAGGTTAGCTAAGTTAGGAACCAAGGCTCGAAAAATATCTCGAAGGGACATTGCACATGTTGTGAGTATGCCTTTAATCTAACTCCTTGTTTGTATGTGTATGCACTTGTTGCATTTGTTAATTTCACTTTTGATATGCAATATATATATGTTCCACTTAACGCCTCATTTGACTGAAGCTTTTTCTTTTTTCCCAAAAGTTCATACATAATTGCTAGATAGAGTGTTCTATTGATTACTTTCTTCATTTTCTTGACACTATAAATTATTTGATGTGTAATGATTCTTGATTTTTGTAGGTGGCCACAAGAAGTAGCGGTGGAACAACCGTGTCAGCAACCATGATCTTTGCATCAATGGTATGTGACTATGTGCTCTCTTGCTAGTTTTCTTATTCTGGCTTAATTCATATTGCTTGTTTCACAAAAAGTTGGGGAGATAGGTAGGGAAGTTAGTTATAGGATAAAGTGGTTGATATCACAACATGTTTTGATAGTCTTGTGTGATAAACAAGTAGTATTGAAGTCTACATTACCAGGATACAAGTTTGAGTATGCAAGTGTGGGATATATTCAACTGGATTCATTGATTTAGAAAAAATAAGGATATGAGGGTGCATTGCATATAGTGTATATATGCTCAAGATAGGTACATTTGAACTTAACTTATAAATAACGGTAGTATCTTCATTGTTGGATCTTTTGATATGTAATGATCAAAGGTCAACTTGAATATGTGGTAGTAGGGCTGTAGGGGTCTATACTATTGAAAACCAAAAGATAACAAAGAAAACATTTGGCCTTAATTCTTGTGTCATATCAGCACCCCCTTATTCTATCAGATATTGTGTAGAGGTAATATTGTCTACATCTAAACTCCTCTTATGGGAATTGGGTGATTTTGTTGCGATGTCATCCCATATGCCTTGAGGAATGGGCAATAGTTGAAGCATTTCAGGATAAATAATCGTCTCAGTTTTGCATTTTTGACAAGTCTCACAAGTCACATCTCTTAATGAACTAAACAACAGGCCATTTGATTCTCTTCCATTAAAACAACCCAGCCCACCTATTTCATGTACAATTTGACAAGTCTCACATCTCTTAATGGACTCAACAACATAATGATTATCATGTGAAGACTCTCATCCAATTGCCAAGAGGTTGTGGTATACACTTGTTTGTAATTGCTGAACTGAATGATTTTATTTACTGATAATCATTGTGGTATCCAGCCGACTTCTATCAGAAATTCATCCAGTGCAAAACTAACTTCTAACTGCCCATATTTATACTTGCTATAGCACTAACTTTACTATGGAGAAAATACATAAAAATCCATAGCTAATCTATTTATTACAAATGCACCAAAGCAAAGTTAACCTTTGGTTTGACTGTTCCTTCTTCTTGAGTAAGTAAACCTTAAGGGTGGTTTACCAATACCTCCCTGGTTGAGTTGACCTTGTCCTCAAGGTCATGATTTGGAAATTCTATTAACAAAGCTTCCCAAATTTTGTCATGAAGCCTCAAAATCACAAAGGTCTTACCACTTTACCGAAACTTCATATTGACCCGGTGGTTTGTGTGGACTTGGATGGAAATTCAAAATATGTTCCGTTGTGCCCTGTAATTCCAAATCATTTGTCAACTATGTTGGAATGGTTGGAGCAAATATGCAATTTCCAATGGGTCTTCTTAATTAGGACACATGGAATATGGAGTGTTTATTTGTCATCGATGGTAACTTTAGTTTTCTAATGTGGGATATGGCCCATAAAAACGAGCAACCAACTTGGGTTTATTACTTTATTTTGATCGACCAATGATTTCCTCTAATAAGGACAATTCCTTAAAAATACAAAATGCCCCACCTCAAAAGTCACTATCTACAACATGTTTCATTCTACACTTCTGCACTGGGTTTTAAGAAGATGCATTCTTGCTTCATCTAGTATGGGCCATATTAGTTTTGTCCTATGCATGAGATGATACTCTCACATTCTCACTTGTTCTAATATGGCAGAGTTATGTTGACAAATCACATTCTTCAACCATATTAGTTTTGTCCTTTCTCATATCCACCTACAAGATTTTAGATGCCATTATTTGGTAAGTTCTATCTTCACCTGTGTTGCATGACCTTCTATTGATCCACCATGGCATTCTTCGAAAATCTTTTAATCAATGAAGAGTTCCGTGGTATAATGGGACGATCTTTATAAAGCAATAATTCATGATGTAAAGTAAATCTCTTGTGTAAAGTGATCCCTTCTTGAATATCTTTTTTGATCTGCATCAAAAAGTCATCATTAGCTATTTCTTGTTGGAGTTTTCTCTTAATGAAAATCATTGAGGCCTTCCAATCAAGACACATTCCACATCTCCTTTAATTCTTGAAAGGGCATTCGTTGCCACATTACTAGTACCCTTCATGTACACTTTATCAAAATCATACCCCAATAGTCTGCTAACCCATTTTTGGTATTTCCGACTCTATTAATCTTTAATCACAAAGAATATTTCAAACTTTGTTGATTACTTCGGATGGTGAACTTTCTTCCAAGCAATTAAGGCCTCTATTTCTTAACGACTGACATCAACTCTTATTCATAATTCACTTTTTGTTGAGGCCGATCTCCCATCTCTGACTAAAGTAAGCTATAGGTTGCTCTTGTTGCATTAGAAGAGGTACTTCATCTACCATTATACCCAACTTTCAAGTCTAGCTTGGAGAAATATTTTGCACCATACTATTCATCTAGCACTTTGTCAATCACAAAAATCACAAATACTGGGAATTTGTCTAAAACCATGTTCGTATTCAAGGCATGATAATCTATACAAAATTGCCAACTCCTGTCTTTCTTCCTTACCATTAATATTGGGCTTAAAATGTACTCTTGCTCGGTTGTATAACCTTGGCTTCTAACATTTCATTAATCAAATTCTTGATCTTGTCTTTTTTTATACGGAGGATAACGGTAGGGTCTAACATTCACCAGTCCACAACCTTCCTTGAGCACATACTTTGCTCAAATCCGTGTGTCGGTGGTAACCCTTTTGGTATTTGAACTACCGATTTATTCTCTTGTAACAATGTTTGCCAATGTTTTAAAAACAGGTTTTTTAGTTCAACTGGTTCGATCGCTCTGGTCAATCGGTTTCTATAATTTTCATCCTTTTTTCCTATTTTCTTACACATACATATATACATAAATCAAGAATTTGACGTCCATAAGATCAAACATTAAACAAAAAACGACTTGTAGATCAATCCAAATACATTAAAAAAACACATAACCATAAGTTTTACATCAATCCACATTCGTAAAAAGGTGTAATACCAAAACAAAATATAGTTTAGATTAATACAAACGCATCAAAAAACTTCTTACCATTTCCCATGTGTTTTTATTTAGAGAAATCTGAATAGATGTGAAAAAGACCACCAAAATTTGTTATGCAAAATGCTTCATTTCCATGTGTTTTTAGTCAATTTAACCGGTTCAACTGGTTAAATTTCCATGTTGACATTTAGGATTACTGTAGTCTTTGAATCTTGTGAATAATGAAATTGCATTTCACATTCCAAGAAGGGACTGATTTTTGTTAGTTCAACACCTTATTCTTCTCCTCGATCTGGATAGTAACCTCCATGACAGTATTCGTATTCAAATTGTTTGGGAAAAGTAAATTGAGTTATGCTCTTATGGTAGGATCTAAGCCATTACCCCCGATCTGCATCTGATTATTGATTATGGGTTGTCCTTATGATTATTCAACTTGATTGCTCTAGTGTTTGCTTCAATGAGCAGATTTCAGCTTGAAATCCCTTCTTGCTTCCGATACTTGTTCTAATGGAAGAAAGATGATGAAGATAGAGAGAGAAATTGAGAGAGTTTCAATTGAATTCTGTTAATACTAAACATAGACACATGTTACAAAGCAATATATACAAAAATTGTTTACATAACTATCATCTTTCAACTACTATAACAAACCTAACCACCTTTGATAAATAAAGACTATTTTACCCTTGACATTAAGTAACTCCAACTAACCTGACTTTTAGCTTGTCTAACACCCCCCGTTGTCAAGCTTGTAGAAATTTACAAACACCAAGCTTGGATCTTGCATTATTATGTTGAGCTCCATGAAGTTGTATATCAACTTTTTGATCATAAGTATGAACATGATCCAATCGAATGAGGCTTAACTGTTACTTTCCCTCTCACAAAATGGCAGTTGATTTCTATGTGCTTTGTACGCTCATGAAACACTGGGTTAGATGCTATATAGATGGCTGTAGAGAGTAATATATTTGGTTTGATGAATAACCATGCCTTGATCAAGTTTCAAACTTAATGCCAAGGAAAAAATGAATTAATCCTCGGTTTTTAATTTGAAATTGATCATTCAATTTTTTTTTTTTTTAAATTGTTGATTTCTTCTGCATCATTTTCTTTTACTAAGATGTCATCAACATACACAACTATAATGGTAGATGAAGTACCTCTTTTAAGAAAAAGTTAGTGATCCTTTTGAGAATGAGTATCTCCTTGAGCTCTTTAGCATACCATTGTCTAGAAGCTTGTCTTAATCCCTATAATGACTTTTTGAGTCTGCACACAAGAGATGGAGAATCAATAGCATGAACAGGCGGAAGTTTCATGTAAACGTCCTCATATAAGTCTCCATGCAAAAAATGCATTGTTGACATCAAAATGATGAATATCTCAACTAAGCTTAACCACAAGAGCAACAAGATTTCTGACTGTTGTGAAATTAACCACAAAGGAGAAGGTTTGATGAAAGTCAATGCATTCTCTTTGTGTGAAACCCTTGGCAACCAATCTTGCTTTAAACCTTTCTATAGAGCCATCTAATTTGTATTTGACTTTGTATACCCATCTACATGCAATCGGTCTTTTCCCTTTAGGAAGTTTGACTATGTCCCAAGTACCATTGTCATTTAAACCTTTAAGTTCTTTTTGCATAACTTCCTCCCATTCAGGAATACCCCTTGGCTTAATGATAGAAAGTTGGTTCAAAGTGGTTTTGATGAATGTGAAAAACTAAATGATGGTTAATGGGAGAAGCTGTAGCATAAATGTCATTTATACATAGATTTGTAATGGTATGGTGACATGAAGAAGGGTCATCTGATGAGAACCATGTTGCAAATGTAATCTTGAAAACGAATTGGTGGTTGCCTTAGCCTTGAAGCCTTCTTAACTCTTCTTCAGGAGGGGTAAAATGGTCAGATTGTTGAGAAACTGAGTTTTACAAAGAAGAGTTATTTGAACTATCATTAGAAACATCTGTAAATTCTGGAGCAGGGGTAAAATGGTCAAACTGAGAAACAAACAATGGGTATATAGGAAGTGGGTGTGAAAGAAGAATGAATGTTCTTAATTGAATTGAATGAAGTGGATATAAATTCTCAAAGAATTTAACATCTCTTGAAATGTGAATTTTGTGTGTGACCAAATTCAAAAGCTTATAAGCTTTTTGACCAGAAGGGTAGCCCAGGAATATGTATGGATGTGCACGAGGCATGAGTTTATCCCTTCCAACTGATAATGGTGAAGCAAAACACAAACAATCAAATGATTTTATAGAATTCAATTATGGTGTTTGTTGGTATAAACTTCAAATGGAGATATATTTTAAGAATTTTTGGAAGGAGGTCTATTGGTAATATAAACACCAGATTATACACATCCACCCCAATAAGCTATGCCAATTTCAGATTAAAAAAATAAACCTCCAGAAATCTCCAGAATGTGGTTGTGTTTTCTTTCAACAAGGCCATTCTGGTTAAGGTGTGTATCAAGTTGACTTTAGGTGTAAGATACATTCTTTTGAAAGAATGCAATGCCATCTGTACTTGAGCCAAGTTCCTTAGCATTATTAGTTCTGATGCATTTGATTTTGGTTTGAAACTGTGTTTTGATCATTTGAACAAATGTTTTAATAAAAAAAAGCATAGCTCTTATGATTAAGGACATGTATCCAGGTATGTCTTGAAAAGTCATCAACTATGGTTCTAAAGTATTTATAACCATTATAAGTTGGATTTTTGTAGAGACCCCAAACATCAACATGACTTAAGTGAAAAGGAGCTTTGGTAGTTGAGATGCTATGTGAGAATGACAAACGAGTTTTTTTAGCTTGAACACAAGTGAAGCATGCATCAATATAATAAATTATGATAAGTAGCAGGAAGATGCAACAATTGTTTCAATATGTCTAAAGAAACATGACCAAGGTGTTTATGCCATAACATGATATTTGGATTAGAATTGTGTACATTCACAGAAAGAAACATACTGAATACAGAAAAGTTGTAGCTGTATGAAAGATTCTGTTTGAGCTCAGTATACTCAAAGACATAAAAATTATTTATTTTCTTTCCAAGAACACCAAGAGCTAAGCTATTCATCAATGAGGGGTCCTGATGCAACATTTCTCATCAGTTAAGCAAAAAATGGATCGAGCTCTGATACCATGTTGTAATGGAAGAAAGATGATGAAAATAGATAGAGAAATTCAGAGAGTTTCAACTGAATTCTGTTATTACTGAACATAGAGGCAATACTTCCTTCAATGATTTTAACTAAACTAACTTGACTTTTAGCTTGTCTAACAATACTTCCTTCAATGATTTTAGCTGCTGTTGATCTTGCCATAATTAAACAAACCTGCTCTGATACCAATTTGGTATACACTTGTTTTGTAATTTCTGAATTGAATGATGTTATTCACTATTTTGATAGTTTCTTCTGGGTTCAGTTTTTTAGGCTATACCCCCAATAGTTTGGGATAAAGGTTTTGTAGTTGTCAATATTGCCACCATATGTGCTTAATTGCTACAGTTTTCTTCAGGTTGGCATTTCTGTATTTGTTACAGGGGGTATTGGAGGAGTTCACAGAAATGGAGAAAACAGTAAGTTTTCTCTTATACACCTCTTATATTCTAAGATATTTCAATTTTATTTCTATACAATTTAGGTTTCCTAAGGTCCTGCTTGTTATGCTGACCTGGCAAAAATCAACCCAACCCAAAATTAGCAGTTGGATAAAAAAATAGCAATTCTTGATTGGTTGGGTTTTCTGTGATTCTTGCATTGTTTCAGCACTGGATATATCATCAGATCTAACTGAGCTTGGAAGAACTCCAATATGTGTAGTATCAGCTGGAGTTAAGTCTATATTAGACATTCCCAAAACCCTAGAATATTTGGTATGTTCATTCTTCTGCTTAAGATCAAACATAAGTTTACACTGGGAGAGTGGCAGTTTAGTAAATTTCCAATGCTACAGGAAACTCAAGGAGTTTGTGTTGCTGCTTACAAAACAGATGACTTTCCTGCTTTTTATAGCGAAAAAAGTGGCTGCAAGGTTTGTTCATCAACCATGTTTTTTTTTACCTTGATAAACAGACTTAAAATAACACAAAGTTAATTCTAATGTATTTAAAAGTGTTCACATTGTTTTTCTGAAATGAACTATTTATTTTCAGTGTCTTCAAGCTGCCAAGTGCCAACAAACTTATTGTATTGCATAAAATGGCAACAATTTTTATTTTATTTTATTTTTATTTTTTGGTTTTTACCTGCTATAAAAGGTATAGGAGGTCATTTTTGCACTTTTGGACCAAGTTTTAAATTTTATGATTTTGGTCCAAACATTTTTCTTTACAAATTCCTCTCTAAATTTAGTTTTTATTTTACAAGTTAACTCTTTTAAGACTTTTTTAGCATCCTTTTTTGAACTTTTGATGAAAAAATTACAAACTTTTTTGACACTTTTTGCAACAATTTCAACTTTTTTTACTACTTTTTTTCAACGTTTTTAGAACCTTTTAAATTTTTTCTAGAACGTTTTTAAAATTCTTTACAACCAACACAAGAAATTCATCGAAACTCATAGAACCAACACAAAAAATAGATTGCATCAAAATTTTAAAAAGTTGATTTGTAAAGTAAAACTATATTTGGGGCAAATTTGTAATTTTTGTTTGCAAAGTTTGGACCATAATTGTTACAAACTTTAAAACCTGGGCCAAAAGTGTAAAATTTTAAACCTGGTATAGCAGGTAAAAACCAAAAAAAAAAGTTTATTCCCATTTTATGCAATAAAATCTGTTTGTTGGCAACTTGAATACACTGGAAATAGTTTGTTTCCCAAAAACAGTGTTATTAACCCTATTAAAAAATTAAAACTCTGTTGCTAAAATGCACTACAAATCTAAGCACCAAAAGAACTAATAATCTGTTCTATGGTTATACTAGATTCCAATTACAGATAAAAGTTACTTAAATAATTCAGGCACTTTTGAAAGTTTCCATTGTACAGAACTGTGTGACATAATTACAATAATGCCCCTAAGAGGTTCAAATTTTGAATGGCAAACCAGGCACCATGCCAAGTAGATACACCGGAAGAATGTGCTCGACTAATTGGCAAGTACAATCAAAACTATATTCTCATTTTTCTTTTTCAAATGACTCATTAATTATTCATTTTTTAAAAAAAAAAATTATTTGTAAATTGTAATTATTGATCTCAGAGGCCAACAGGAGACTTGATCTTAGAACTGGTATCTTGATAGGAATTCCTATTCCAAAACAACATTCTGTTACTGGTAATGTCATAGACTCTGCTATACAAACAGCACTCAGAGAAGCTAGGTAAGATTTAAGAATCATCTCCAAACATAAATACCTAATTTTTTTTTTCTTTTCTTTTTCGGATGTTTAAAAATAGGGCTAAATGAAAGGATGATGCTATAATAAATAAATCAATCAACAATAGAAGTAGCATTCTTGAATATTATTAATACAGATTAGTGATAACATTGATGTTCAAAGATTAGGCTAAATACAAAAAGGTAGCAACATGTTTTCATTTATATATGTATTATAGCATCCAACATACTTACATTTCAGTATTTCTCTTATTAGGGCATTATATTTTGAAAAATATACCCAATTATAGTAGTGAAAATTGTGGATTGTTAAGAATAAATGAAAGTAGAAGGATATAATAAACAAATCAATGAAAAACCGTTGCTATTACATGCATTTAACCCTAAAAAATAAATGCAACATTTCCTTCTATATATAGTTCACATATCTTTAGCTTCTTTGTCTAATTTTTATAATTTGGAGCTTTAATCGCAGTGAGAAGGGTATAAAAGGAAGTGCAGAAACTCCGTATCTACTTTCTAGAGTAAATGAATTAACAGGAGGATCTTCTCTCGAGTCAAGTATCCTTTCAACCAAAAGACTAAATGCAAGAAACAACAATTTTTGTTTATTTGTGTATTATAGCATCCTACTTTCATTTTCTTTTAAAAAAAAAACCAATTATACCTTTTTACTTACATTTTTTTTTTCTTATTGGGCTGATTTTTAAAGTCCAATGTTTTAACAAAAAAAAATGGAAGTAAGAGGTTATATAAACAAATCAACAAAAGTAGGTTGCTATTTCTTGCATTTAATTCTTATTACAAACATTATACTAGTTTAGTTAGATTCAAAAGAATATATATTTTAATTTTTTCGGATTTTGGTGGAAGAATGTTGGTTCTTAATAAGGTTATAGACATTGCTCTAGTGAAGAACAATGCAATTCTTGGTGCTCAAATAGCTGCTTCCCTTGCTCAAATACAAGACAATGGTCAGCAGAAAGATAAAGGTTATTTTTCACTTCTTTTTCTGTTTTTTTGAATTCTAAGAACATGTGTATGATGAGGAGGGCATTTATGTCTTTTGCACAAACAACATATTCTCTGAAATTTGTAGTTTTTGTCATCTTTTCAGTCCAATGCAAGACAAACACAGTGCAAGTTGAAAAGAAGTTAAATGACGATGATATGAAATTTGAATCTTACATATTGTTTTTCTTTTTGAATGGTCAGGATCAAAATCGGAAGCAAATGACTCGTGATATTGTTATATTTCTTCACCTTTATAATATTTCTACCCATGTGTTAAAAAAGGAAGATGTCACGTGCGCAACTGTTAATTTAAATTTAGCAGTTTAAATTTTGTAATTTTTTAGGATGTATAATAAGATGACAATGTTTTGGCTAATTAATTATGTAGTAACAACATTCCCCTCTTCATTTCGGAATTCGGATGCCATGGTATTTCAGGTTTATTTGTTTATTTATGTAGTAACAAAAAAGCCTTTACATTTTCTTGTGTGACCATTTTAGCATGTTTCCTGCTAATTTTTTCTGGTTTTACACAAAGATGTAATGGATTTTTTAAAATAAAAGATGAGGTTTAAGTAGAAAATGTAAGGGCTAAAAAAATGTAGAGGCCAAATTGACAAAAAAAAGCCAAAAAAAGAAAAATGTTAAATGTTAAACCTTTTTTAGAAAAAAAATAAAGGTTTAATAACTTAAAATGGTAACATATTTTGTTTTGTGTTCATATTTAGCCAAGAGGGTATATTACTTATAAAATATGATAATATTTTTTAGCAGGTGAAACATTATGGTCAAATATATATAATTTTTTTGTCTACATATGAACATGAAATAAAGTATGTTACCATTTAAAGTCATTAACCCTTGAAATGTTGTAGTTGAAACTACATTATTTGTTAATTGATGTGATCTATGAAAGTTATCATTTTGATTTGATGTATAAGTTTAATAAAGTTCTAATTATAGTGAAATATTTATTAGTAGTTATTAATAAAGATGAAAAATACACCTTTAAAGTTAATAAATAAACTTATTTATCATGAAAAAAATATATTTAAACCATGTTATATTTTTCATTTTTTTTTAATAGAGTCAAAATATTCAGTATTGAAACTTGTAAAATAAGTGTCGATAGAAGGGGCTAGGTTACAAGTTTAAACACATTTCAATTTAATTGAATAATTTTTTTTTGTATGAATTAAATGGGTTGGGTCTGTTAATTATATAACTCACCGATATTTTTTAAACACCTAGCTATAATGAGAAAGTACGTTGTGAAAGTTATAATTGTATAAGATAAAGAGAAAATATGTTATGATTATTAAACCCCAAAAGTTAACCTATAAAAGTTTGGCTATTGCCATAACATTAAGGCCCTGTTTGATTTGGAATTGACCGGGTTAGGTTGACTCGGTCGGCTCCATGTGTTTGATATGCCTCGATTTTGCATTTGCCGGGTCAACAATGTCTGACTCGCTCATAACCAAAACAATTGCTAACTGAATCTGATTGAAATTCATTCCACCATTGCCCCTGCACCACCCTCATCCTCCTTCCTCAACCATCAATTTAATTCCTGGAAAGGGAAAAAGAAACTAGAACATGGGCGTAAAAAAAAAAAACACGAACAGAGACTGCATTTGATAGGGGAAAAAGACAAGTCAAAATTGGAATTAGGCAGTTTTGGTCCTTGAAGATACCCATCTTGATCGAATCTACCACAACTTTAAATTGTCTTGCATAACTAATCTATGAAAATTATTAGTTGGACCCTGAACTTTTATAATCAATTATTATTGTTGTTGTTATTATATGTAATACCGAAATTTTCAAAACAAAATTTTCATTTAAATTCGCTTATTTCTTTAACACATTTCATAAAAATCCCATTTTTATTTAAATTACAAATCATGACTCTTTTGTTCAATCAATTAATAAACTAGGATCCTCCAAAACAAACGCTTCCTCTGGTGTGTACAATCGAGCCGGTGCCGTCCCGTGATTCTGAGGAAACCTGAAACACATAACACAAAACGCTGTAAGCACGAAGCTTAGTGAGTTCTCCAAAATACCACTCAAACACATCTTAGCCACTTAAGGCTATAACTCTATTGACCTTCTGGTCAGTGTGTCTCAGTGGGACCCTCCAGTCCCAACTCTCTATAGACCCTCTGGCCCTAACTCTATGGACCCAAAGGTCCTAACTCTGGCAACTCTGAATCATGCATATCACATCACAACAAATCTCATAACATAAATAGCATACAAATACACTGGCACATAACTCTAATCCTAACTCTGTGGACCCTCTGGTCCTAACTCTATGGACCTTCCGGTCCTAACTCTGATATACACACATCATAAATCACATAGAAATAATGCAGTGCCACACATCGCATAAATAGCATACAATAACTCTGTCACTTAACTCTGTTACCACTCTAAGTAAAGTATAGTGAGAAGACTCACCTCAGATGTCTCTGGTAATCTTGCACGCGGATACACTGATCTAGCCTCTACCTAAATACATAAACAATTATCTCAATCAATAACGGCTCTCCAGGCTAGACTAATCCCTTCCATGTCCTCTAAGAAGGATAAAAGACCATTTTACCCTTCAAATGGTCCACATGACCAATTGTTGACCAAACCCTAAAAGTCAACAAAAGTCAACTCAAGTCAATGGTCAACACTGACCAGACTCGTCGAGTACACAAGGGTGACTCGGCGAGCCCATGCGTGTCTTTTGACTCTTCCACGGCCTCACTCGACTCGTCGAGTGAACCTTCCACTCGATGGGTTTCCACTGGATTTGAATCGCGGGCAACCCGACTCGACTCGTCGAGTCTCCCCATGGACTCGGCGAGTTGCTCCCATGCCAACACTCATCTGACCTTCTGAGGCCAGATCTGTTCCTCTAATCCATAGATCTGGCTTCCCTACGACCAATAACCACATAAAGGTCGAGGCTTGACATACATGCAAAGCTCACAAGGCTTTCCTTGGAGAAATGGCTCCAAGAATGGCATCAAAGTCTCATTCTCTGCATGAATCAACCTAAAGCATATAAAATAAGGCCCTATGGACCTCTATGGGTCCAGATCTAGGATCTCTCACCCAAAGGGACCCTATACTCATCACTACAAGCCATAGGAAGGTGTAAAAAAACCTAAAATCACCAATCTCACCCAAAACAGAAAAGGGAAAACGATTTGATACCTCTACAATGAAGATATAAGCTCAGGAACTCTGAATTAACAACTCCCTTCAGCTCCCCTTGCTGGAAATGACTTCTCCCTTGCAAAATCACACCAAGAAATGCTTAGAATGGCTTTATCTCTCTCACTCTTCGCTCTAGCCCTCTAGGGTACCTCTCTCTGGACTGGTAGCCACACAAGAGGGCTGTAAGGTCCTTAAAATAGGTCTTAAACCCGGGCAATTAGGGTTTTCCTTAACAACACTGACTCGGCGAGTCCAGATACCCGACTCGTCGTGTCCCTTCATTAAACAGATCACCAAGCCGCGGTCCTACTCGACGAGTTGAGGCATCAACTCGCCGAGTCTCTTCATATTCCAATATAAAATACTCAAATTTCCATGCCTGGATATCCAGATGTTACAATTCTCCCCCACTTGAATTAGATTTTGCCCTCGAAATCACTCCTTAACCACTCATAGATTGAAACTAACAACCCGAAAGGCACTACTGAAAAGATCTTCATACTAAACCGATATCTTTCTTTATAGGCACGCGAAACCACATAAAACTTCCAAACCAAAGTTTAAACCAACTCTTTCATCACTAAAATACTCCTTCCCAACACCTAAAAACTCTAGTGGTTTGACCTGCCGCCCGACCGCCTACTCGAGCGATCACTCTAATATTCGCTCCTCGAATATCAACCCCGCTACTCACTGGCTCTCTGATTCTCATAAGACCACATCCAACAACCGTATATCGCTCCTTCAAACCAATCATGCTAAAGCATACGAATCACGCCCCACAACTAAAAGGGTTCACACTCCACCGGGGCACATCTATTAAACTGCTATCAAAAGCCAACCGAACAAAGAATCCTAACACTCTGCCCTCAGACACAAAAGCATAACCATGCTCGCTCAGAAGTGTCCTGAAACATCACATTCATAGATTTCAGCTCCAAATTCCATATCCCTTTTTAACACCACACGAGGTCTGACCGTCGTCTATCCACATAACTCTTCTGACGGCTCTAGGCCGTCAGCAACCTTTGTCTGACCTGCTGAATCTTCTCGGTCGTCTGAAGCACCATCTCTGTACTACCCATCACACGCTGCCCTACCTCTCCCCAGCAAATGGGAGTCCGACACCTCCTCCCATACAACAACTCAAAGGGTAAGTACATGTCTCAATTCCCTCCAAAATCTAATGCACATGCCCGAAGCATGTCCTTGAGCGTTTGAATCGTCCGCTCACTCTGCCCGGCTCTCCGCAGAAGAGCTCCCACTGACTTCCCCTTCGCATCAACTATCTCGGCCCTGTGACACACAATTCACAAAATTCTCAAATGAAAACTACAATCCAACCGGAAATCGACTTAGCCCTGACAGAGACGGAGACCCCAGTCTCGCCCCTGGTTCAACCACCAGGCTCCAAAAACTCAATACTAAGGCTACTCAAGTCAAAAACTCTTCTGGATCATACACTGATCGGAGAATACTCCAACATCACACTCTCTTTCCGTCTAGTGAGTACTAAGGCTCCCTGCAACATCACGATAGCCTCTGACTGGTGAGTACTACAGCTCCCCGTAGCACCATAACACCAACTGTCTAGTGAGTACTACGGCTCCCCGTAGTACCACGAATCCCTCTCTCTGACTTGTGAGTACTATGGCTCCTCGTAGCATCACAACACCCTCTGACTAGTGAATACTACGGCTCCCCGTAGCTTCACCCTTTACTTTCATTCTCATCACAACGCCACACTACATCCACTAACTCATGCTCCGTAGACTATCATAGATAGCTACATACACTTGTCCCACATATGCATCACAGACTCTGGCGGCAACCGCTATAACAAAATACCTACCTCTGCGGAGATCCACTTTCTTAAATAATCCCTCTTGATGTCAAAACCCGAAGGGCTCCCACTAGAACCGTAGATACATGATACACCACTAGTCGTCTCAAACTCAAAATTATAAATAACTCCGAAATCGGGACATTATACCCGGGTACCACGGAACACCATTACAGAACATCACGATGTCCTGCCTCAACCACTGATCTCCTACTCCCAGCACCATACATATACAACAATACATTTACTCTGAACCCCATAAATAATTCTTCATTTTACCCAATGCACAACTTCAGTGTATCCAAACACTCAATTGGAATACAAAGAAAGCGCTGACGCTTCAGAACGCACTGATGATCCTCCGAAACCCTTTCCCCTACTACTCAAAA